ATCAGGGTCAGCCTGCACAAGGCCACCGTCCGCACTAAGGGAGCGCAGACGATGCCTATGCGCCCTTCCACCTCGGCGCCCACCACCACCTTGTGCGTTTCGCCGCGCGCGCGCTTGCCTGGATGCTGAATCAGGCCCACGCGCGGGTAGCCTGCATCGCAGGCGGCGAAGACCTCACGATCACGACGACAGGGGTCGTCGGGGCGAGGAGCGGAGCCATGCCACGAGAGCTTCTGAAAACCTGTATGGTCATCAATATTCAGCATCTCGACAAACGGGCCCCGCGGGAAGGGCGAGCGGTGGACAACCTGCTCGTGAGGCCGCAAGGCCCCGAAGCTGTGCAAGACGCCTTCATGTGCAGAGTTGGCAATCTCCACCGCCATGTTGTCGCCCATCGCTAGAGCATTGAGGCAAGGCGCGACGTCCACACCTTCGAGCTCGGGGCGCCAGGCTCGAAAGGCCTTGAAGCGGGATGATGGCAGACGAACGCGAAGGGCGTTACGCCTGGCGCGCGCGGGAGGAACGCGGAAAGTGTAGTAAAACTCCCGTAGGTCGTCGCAAGAAACTGCCAGCCACTCCCCAGGCGCCAGACCCAAACGGCACAGCAGGAAACCCTGGCCAAGGCGCTGGGTGCTGGACGAGATTGAGGCACAGCGGCTGTTCACGACCGTTGGGTTCAGGATCAGCCTGTCGTAGTCGCTGTCCTTCGGTACCCTGAAAGCTCCGCAGGCTTCATCCCAGGCGAGGTCCGAAGCAGGAGTCAGGTACAGGGCGCCGCAGGCATCCCACTTCTGGAGCAGGGCCCACAGCTCGGCGCGGTCCATATGGACACGCGCCCCCTTTTGGCCAGCAGGCCACTCTGACGCCGGGAGCCGCATCTCCTCTGGATTGATGAACGCTTCGCGGACTCGAGCGTCAGAGAGAAATGGAATGGGATCAAACACTGGCGAATAATCCCACTTAATGCGAGACGCCCTGACTTTTAAATCGAAGGGCTCGACCTGGGTGGAGTCCCAAGCCGCCGCAGACGCCAGCGAACCAGGCACGGAAGGAGCGCTGGTCGGGCAGTGCCGCATGGGGGCGGGCACGGAAGAAGAGGAGGTGAAGGAGGCCTCCAAAGCTGCAACATGGGTGGCCAGGCCATGGAGCGAGACCTCAGTAGAGTCGAACTTGGCGAAGGCTCGACCTAAGTCGCTCTTGCCACCACGGGCGAGGCGAACTGCGATCCGACACAACCGTTCGATACGGGTGCGGACGCCCTCCTGGCAGGGCGAGACCGTGGCACGGACGCGAGCCTCGGCGGGAGCGAGGCTAGGATGACCCAAAGTGAGCCAGTTCAACGCAATAACAGAATACTGCGCGAGCGTCCGCGCCGCGCGCCGCAATCTCCAGCGCTCCCTGCGCCTCGCCGACAAGCCGTCAGGCGGGGGACCAAGAGGTGGAGCAGGCGGGCACGGCCAAGGATCGCGGGGAGGCGGCCCCAAAAGGTACGGGTCGTCCCGGTCCATTGCACGCATAGATGAGCGGGAGAAAGATCCAAGAGAACATCGAGCACCCATCCCAACCTGGGACAGCGCTGCCGCCCAGTGGGTGATATCAATGTTCGCACCTGGAAACAGGCGCAGCAAGGCAGACAAGTCAGCGACAAATGGCGCGACGTTGGCAAGAGCAGCAGGGGTGCTTGAAGGAGAACAAGCACCAGCAAGAACACCAACCTCAGGGGCTGCAGGCCCCATGGGGGGAGCGCTCGACTGAGGCAGGTGACGGCCAAAATGGCCGAATGGATCCGAGGGGCGGTTCGGGGCAGAGCGAGGGGCGTGGTGGCGGAACGTGCTCCTCCCTGCGGGGCCGCAACAGCATCGCTGGAGGAGCGCATTCCTACCCTCACGCCCTCGCTGCGCCCAAACACGCCTAGCAGCCATAGCAGCGTCGGTGCAGACTGTCTACGGCGGCGTACCTCGGCCACGCGAAGGCCCCCCCTTCCAAGAAGGCGGGCGCCAAGGGCATCTTCAGTCCTTCTTGGGCACCGCCTTCGGGGCCTTGGGAGCACCCTGAGATTTGAAGGGGGGCTTTGAGACCTTGGGCTGCTTGGGCTGATGAGGTGGATGCTTGGGGAGCGCGACGGCGCGCTCGGCGTCGAGGCGCGCCCGAAATGCTTGCAGCTCCTTCATGTATTCGCCCTGCGCCGACAGCCAGCGAGGATCCACTAGGGGTGAAAACGGGGTCTGGGCCTCGCGCTCCGTGTGACGACTGGTCACGCGACACGGGGGAGGCTCCAGCCCCGTGAGGAACCAAGCGGCCTCGAGGTAGCCGCGGTCCCCCGCCAACTGGTCGATGAACATGCACTGGCAAGTCAGCAAGGTCTGGACCCTCTCGGGGTTGCCCTCCTCGCAGGCCCGCCACAGCTCGGCGCTGAGGAAGGCAAAATGCGTCAACAACTCGTGCGTCGACGGCTGAGCCCCGAGGGGGCTGTGCTCGCGAAAGTACTGATGCATGGCCATGGGGGTCACGGCGCTGACTTCCACGCCCAGAACGCGGGCCAAATTCTCCTTCATCAGTCCTCGCACGTCGGGGCCGTGCTGCATCAGCGCTTGCTGCCACTCGCGCCTCCGAGCGATTCCCCCCATCTGAGCCGATGCGTGCGCGGGGTCGCCCGAGGTCGCGGGCGGAGTTTGAGCTTGGTCGCTCAGGGTCCCCAGAAGCGGGTGGAAGGCTGGGCGATGGCCCCGCCCCTGCTGCAAGGAAAGGGACTGGTGCAGGCACTGAAGCATGAGGCTGAAGTCCGTCGGATTGGCCGCAAGGGGCGGCTCTAACCCGTCGGCGCCGCCCGCCTCGGCAAAGCCGTCGACCGCAGCGGGATAGGCTAGCCCAGGCGGCGGCGGGGGGCCCATCGGTCCGAAAGCGGACGAAGGGGCCCGAGGGACAGCAGAAGAGCGCGCCTTCTCCCACGCCGAGACCAGCGCGGAGGTGGGTCCCTTGGGGCGCGCGGAGACCCGATGAGGGGCCACGGGTGCGTGGGACAAGACGGCCTCGATCCCCGCAGGATCCAGCCCGAGGCGCGCCGCCTCGTCGCTGAAAAGCTGAGGCACCTCGGGCCGAGCGCTCTGGGCAGCCGGAGCGGGGCCCAGCGGTTCGGGTCCGCCGACCATCGTGGAGGCCGCGTGGGCTGCAAGCAAGGCGCGCATTTCGGCAGCTACCTCGGCGCGGGTCATGGGAGCCCCGTCGTCCAGAGACGCCGCAGGAGCGCCAGGAGCAATCGGAGCAGGACCCGCGACCCGTGGCGGCGCGGCGGCGCCAGCGCGCTTGGCGGGCGGGCCGCGCGGCGCTCCAGCGACCGCGGGGGCTCGCGCACTTGGGGCCGCGCGGTCGGCTTCCCCGTCGGCCGCGAACCCCTCGGGCTCCTCCATCTCGTCGGCAGAGTGGTAGGGGGTAGCCCGATCGGCCCCTGGGAGAGGCTCTTCCCCTGCGGTAGGCGGGGCGCCGTGCAAACGAGCGTAGCCCTCGCGAAGCACCCGAACCCCCGAAGGATGCGGCCAATAGACGCGGCTGCGCACCTCGGCGAAGGGAACGATGCCTGCGTCGTCGCCGACCTCTAGAGGGTACAGCGACTCGAGCTCGAGCTCGGCAACCTCGATATCTATAACGAGGACGGATGCGGTAGTGGCGAGCGGCCGTGAAGCGGCCCCCTGGAGCTGGACGTCCACTAGCTGGAAGGGGCCTATCATCCCAGCAAAGCCATCCGCCTCGGCAGCCTCGAGCTCCGCTGTAGAGCGAAAGGCACCAGGCAGGGCCAGCAGGATGCCCCCTTCTCGAGAGGCGAGGGGGATAGCCGCCCAGCTGGTGTCGCCGTCGTCTAGGCGCCATCGTGCGTAGTCGCGCGCCGTGGGCGCAGCGAAAGGGTAGAGCTCGGGCCAAAGGGGCCCTCCGCCAACTGGTGGCAGCTCCGCCATCAGTGGGCGCCGCCGTGGACGCCGCCGCCCGCACGCTGGGCGTCTGCCCGCTCGAGCGCTTGAGGTCGAGGCGGAGCCCCGTAGGCCAGCGCTCGCGCCGCACGGCGGTCCTGCTCAGGTGAAGCAGAAACCGCGCCGCGCGGCCAGGCGAAGGGCCAGAGCCTCCGCCACACGTACGGGCCCAGCAGCCCGAGGCAGCAGCCCGCGCAGGCGCTGCAGGCGGCCGTCACCCAGAGGAGGGCGGCGACCGTGCTGAGCAGCCAGGGAGAGACCCCGCCGCTCAGGTCCACCGCCAGCCCGAGGCAGACGGTGGGGCAGGTGGAACCCGCCGAAGGGAGAGGGCAGGAGGCCCCCTCGCCCTCGGACGAGTCCGCCTGCAGGATGGACCAGGCAGGAGCTGGAGGCCCCTGGTCCTGAAGCACAGAGAGGGGGGCAGCCACGAGCCGCTCGTAGAGCGCGGCCCGCAGCCCCCTGAACAAAATCTCCCCAGCGCCCTGGAGAGCCGCTTGTGCGACCGCCTGCATAAGGCGCCCGCACGCGCGGCCGACGGGGGGCACTTGGGCAGAGAAGCTGCGGAGACAGCAGGAGCTTGCTCACAGAGAATAGAAGAGGCATGATGATGATGATGATGCCGATGCCGATGCCGATGCCGATGCTGCTGCTGCTGATGATGATGATGGTGATGTTGCTGATGGTGCTGATGATGATGCTGCTGCTGATGATGATAGTGGTGACAGAGACGGTGGTGGTGATGGTGGTGCTAATGATGGTGACGACGACGGAGGTGGTTGTGGTGATGGTGATGATGAGTGTGACGACGATCGTGTAGTTGATGATGGCGCTGATGATGGTGGCTGTGACGACCGCGACGACACAAGGCCAGAGGAGGAGGAGGAGAAGGAGAAAGAGGAGGAAGAGAGGGGGGAGGGAGACACGAGGAGAGGGAGGAGGGAGCCTGGGGGAGGGGCGAGGAGGGAGGGAGGAGACGGGCCAGAGGGGAGGGGAGCGCGATGGAGCGCGGCCGGCCCCCCGCGAGGCCGAGCCCCGGGCGCCGCGGTGGCGACGTCGCTCTGCCCCTGACAGGCGGGCCGCCGCGCACAGCCAGCACACGCCGAGCCACGGCAGGAGGGGGTGGCCGCCGCCGTCTCTCGCCCGTCGTCTCTCGCCGTCGCCGTGGCCGTCCTCGTCGTCGTCCCTCGCTGGCGTCCCTTGTTATCTCTCGTCCTCGTCTCTCGTCCTCGCGTCCCGTCGGCTCTCGCCGTCGTCTCTCGTCTCTCGCCGTCGTCTCTCGCCGTCGTCTCGCGTCGACGTCTGTCGTCGGCGTTGTTCCTGGCGCCTCCCGTCGTCGGCGTCGTCGTCGTCGTCGTCGTCGTCGTCGTCGTCGTCGTTGTCGTCGTCGCCTGCGCGGGGCTGTCCAAGACTAGACCAGGCAAGTACGGAGACGCAGGAGGCGCAGAGGGATGTGGAGCAGGAGCTAGAGGACCAGGAACATGAGGAGCGGGAGAACGGAATAATGACGACGACGACGGCACGGACAAGCAGGACGAAGACGAGGAAGATGAGGATGTGCGGGAGGTCGAGGAACACGAAGCGCACTAGCAAGACGATCATGGTGAGGGGGGAGACGAATAGGATGAGCAGGGCAAGGAGAAGGACGCTAGAGGCATCTCCCTCGTCCCCCTCCGCATCGTACTAGTTCCTCTCGCCCGCAATCCAGATCCATCATGTAAGATCCCTCCATTCGCCACCATTCGCCTGGAGCCACACGAAATCTTGAGTGGAACGGGCCCTTGATACCCTGGGGCTCCCCTGAAACGGCTCCTCTGAGTCGAAGGGAAGCGAAGCGAATCCAACGACCGAGTCGTGCACGCTCTTCTGGGGAGCCCGCCCGTGCTCATCAGGGCATGGCGTGGAGGCTATGGCCTCGAGGCCATGGCCTCAAACCAAATGATGCGTAGAAGGACTCACGTGTGCGTGGTCTTCTGGTGCTTGCCCTCATGCGCCACGGTCTTCTTCATGCTCGAGGTGATGCGTTTGACCCCACCGATGCGCGTCACCGTTTTCATATCGAATGGCGTCCCAAGACCTTGTAGCCTGTAGCAGACCTCAATGAACAACCAAGAACGTGAGCATAAACTGTCAGAAGTTCGCGCGGATTTCCTGGGATCGGCGCTGGGCGCCACTGGCGGCGTCTCCGCCGCCGCCACTGGTGGCGCGCCAGGGAGGGGGGGTCAAGCGCCGATACGAGAAACCCGCGCGGACCCCGAAGTCCCCCGAGGTCCCCGCGGAGGTCCCCGCGGAAGTCCCTGGACGTCCTCGACCCGCCTTTTCACACTTGCTGCTATTAGGGTGATTTGCTGGGTACTTTCTTCTGGCTCTTCGCGCTGCCACAAAACCACTCCCGCGTACGCTTCTGACGCAAGAATGAATATCCTACCGCACTTCGTGCGATGCTTAGGAACCCCTCAGGATACCCAGGAATGCACGTTTTCGCTGGCCGACCTCCTACTCCTCGACCGACCTATTCCCCCTTGCTGTTCTGGTGCGTTGCTGGGGTGATTTTATGGCCTTCCGCGTTCTCGTGGAGAGGACTGGAAGGAGCATGCGGAGGTGGAAGAGGAGGGCAAGTTGGACTCGAGCTCTCGGGAAGAGGAGGCAAGGGCCAGAGCGGCGTGCACCACCCTGGCCGAGGGGCACGAGCAGGGACGAGCCCCGTTCCTGCTCGCCGCTGCCGCGCCCGCCCCGATCGGTGCCGCCAGAGCCTGCCCGTCCGTTCTCGATCCATGGTGGCCATGGGCCTCCCAGATAGGGTCCGACTCGATTGAAGGGGCCCTGGGACACACAAATAAATACACACAAATAAAAAGATTCCCTATATTTTCCCATATTTTCTGGGTTTTTGTCTTCCCCACCACTTCCCATATCTTCCTATATTTTCTGGGGAGTCGACGATTAATTGTGTCTGTGTGTTTCTTCCCCTCCTGATCGATGGGGTCCGGGGATCTCCCCGCATCGCCGATGCATCGGCGATGCCCTGGCGACGTCGGCAAGGCATCGGCGACGTCGACGCGAAGCAAACAGGGCCCCACGCCGAGCCGCCTCGGCGATGCATCGGCCATGCGGCGCGATCTGCTCCGACCCCATCCGGGAGGCCCAGAGGCCAGGAGGCCGAGAGAGGCGGGGCGCCCGCGCGCGGCTCGCCGGAAGGGCCGGCGCCGACGCCGACAGCGCGGAGCGGTGCGGGCGCCACGGCGCGTCCTGCCGCGGGGCTCGGCCTCGTCGTGGCCACCGCCGTCGCGGCTGTCAGGACCGCGGCTCGTCGCCGTCGCCGCCGCCGCTGCCGCCGGCGTGGCCTTGTTTGGCCACCGTCGCGGTCATCGGCATGGCCTTCGCCGTCGCCGCCGCCGACGTCGTCAGCCTTCCGCCTCCTCCTGCTTCTCCTCCTCCTCTTCCTCCTCCTCCTAGCACCACAGCATATGTTATCCTCCGCTTTGCTCCCCTCATCCTCCCCCACTCTCTCTCGCTCTCCCTCTCCCCCTCTTTCTCTGACTCTGTCTCTCTCTCTCTCTCTCATTCTCTCTCTCTCTCTCTGTTTCTTACTCGGCCTCGCTGTTCTAGCGCGTTCCTCCTGTCTCCCTCCTCCTCGTCCCCATCCTCCTCCTCCTCCTCCCTGTTGTTCCTTGTTCCTCCTTCTCCTCACTCACCCATCGCCCCTCATCTCTCCTCATTCCTCGCTACACGCTGGACAACAACAGACTACACCAAGCACTGAGAACCTGCCCTCGCATCATCCCGTCCTCTTTCCTACAAACTATGTCTCTCCCTGTCCCTCCTCTGTCCTCCCCCGTCCGTGATTCCCAATCCATCGTCCATTCGCCGTCCTCTATCCTCTGTAATCCTTCCAGCTCCGTCCTCTGGACATGTTCTTAGGCTTCATTGCGCTGTCGCTGAAGGCCTAGAACTCCAAATGTGTCAGAACAAATCTTGCCGAGCTCTGGAGAAGTGACGCCCTGAAGGCTAGTAGCAAGCTTCGAGCGCGCCCCAGGAAGACCCCGAAGAGCAGACGCGTGATGCACGGCACACGGTGTCCTACATGCAACAACCCGTGAGCCAAACTGATTAACGATGATGGTGCGGATGCTGACTGGTAACCAGGATGTCGATTGTGATGGTACTGCGCAGCGTTGATGAAAGATCGTGGCCATAATGACAGTGATGATGCGCGCGGTGAAGGTGATGGTGATTGCAGTGATGAGCGGTCCCGGAGACCAAGCCGATCTGTTTCACTGTGGCTGCCGCTGCAGCGGGGGAGGTAAACCACGGGAGATAAAACGTGCAGATGACCGACTCCGGGAACACCCTGGCTCCACAAATGTCGACGCCTCCGTTTTACTCGGAGCCAATCGAACCTGCCTCGCTTTTGACCGCCCTCGCTTCCCAAAAAGGTACCAAACATCTACCCAAGCTGGGGCCCGCACCAGTCGGGCCGCTTGACGAGGATGCGCGCGGTATGACTTGGTTTTGCCTGGACGCGAAAGCGGGGTAAGCACGGTGTTGGCATTGGATAAGGAAACCTGCGACAAGGAATCCAGGGTCTAGGAGCCAGTGGAACTCCAATCGTGGACGGGCCATGGATATCACCGCCGCCCTCGTTAGATAAGGAACCCTCCAGAGTCTGAAGCCCCCTGGGCACATTCCCTTAACGAACGCCCCCACCGTAATTTACGTGATGGGCATGTTTCCCACCACCACCACCACCATCAGTTGGAGGGGGAGCAGGAGGAGGAGGAGGAGGAGGAGGAGGAGGAGGAGGAGGGCAGCAGGAGGAGCAGGAGGAGAAGCAGGAGGAGGAGGAGGAGGCGGAGGCGGAGGAGGAGGAGGAGGAGGAGGAGGAGGAGGAGGAGGAGGACCCCCTCCCCCTCCAACTTATGGTGGTGGTGGTGGAAAACAGGCCCACCATCACGCTCCAGACATGCGACGTCCTGATTTTTTCAGGACGGCGTCCCTGGAAGTCTCGACCCATTCCCCAGGACCGATTTTTCATCCTGAGTCGTTTCTTGACGGTCCCGAGGCCCAGCGAGGGCCCCTAGAGGCCAAACTTTGCCAAAAACCTCCCGTCCTGATTTTCCCGCGACGCGATCACGTCTAGGGCTCTGCTTCGCTTCCGCCGCCTTCCGCCGCCCTTACGCCGGCGGTGCCGCCGATGGGCCCTGCCGCCGCCGCGCTCTCCGCCGCCGCCCTCCCCATCCCGGGGAGAAGGCGAGATACTCTCGCGCCGCAGGCGGGGCCCGCCCCACGGAGCGCCCAAAACCCAGAACGAGGGCGACGACGGCGACGGCGACGGCGACGACGACGGCGACGACGAGGACGACAGCGACGGCGACGGCGACGACGACGGCGGCGACGGCGGCGGCGACGGCGGCGGCGGCGACGAGGACGACGACGACGCCGCGTCGGGCGCGCGCCGCCTCCGCGAAGACGGCCGGCCCCCGCTCGCGCAGGAGCGCATGCTCCAGGCGCAGCGGGCTCACCCAGAGATCCTGGCGCGACGGCGAGCGGGGTGCTACCTTCGAGGCTCTAGCCCAGAGATCCAACGTATTGAACAAAATCAAAACCGAGGTTTCTCGCAATTTTCGGCCTCTGCTTGGGGGCCCTCGCCGGGCCTCGGGACCGTCAAAAACGACAAAGGGTGAAAAACCGGTCCCGGGAAGGGGTCCAGACCTCTGGGGGTCGACTTCATGAAAAAATCATGACGTTGGGGGTCTGGGAGGTTTTCGGGCGCTCTGATAGTTTCTTGGCGATGTGCCGCCCTTGGGATGCGCTTCAGCGGCTGCGCCTCGCCGAGAGCGTTCTGGGGATGCCTGGATCGTCCCGAACGGCCGCTGGAGACCCGAGTTGACCCGAAAACCAAATTCGGCGGCGAGCGAGGGGAGAAGTGAGAAGGAGAAGGCCTTCTCAGAAGGCGGCTGGACTTCTCCGAAGCCCTCGCGCCTTCTGAAAAGCTTTGTTGTGTCTTCTGGGAAGGCTTAGAAGACTTCTCAGAAGGCCAGGGGACTTCCGAGCCTTCTGAGAAGACCCGCCCCTTCTCACTTCCTCCCCTCGCTTGACGGCTTGGGCGCGCACAGAGAAAACTCGCCGATTGGTCGTCGTCGTCGTCGTCGTCGTCGTCGTCGTCGTCGTCGTCGTCGTCGTCGTCGTCGTCGTCGTCGTAGTCGCCGCCGCCGCTTGTGTCGTCTATACATATCCTGCTGTTGCCGCGGAGCGGACGCTCCCTCAGAACTGGGCACGACGCGGAAACAGACTTCGCGCAAGAGCCACAGGAGGCCCCCGCCGGGGCAGGGTACCGCACGTACGCCTCCAGCTCAATCATCGGCAAGCCGCATGCCGCTCCACGGAGCACGACGCTGGAGCACTCGCGACCGCATCGCCACGGGGAGGCCAGGCGTAGGGAGGGAGGCAGGGAGGCAGGGAGGGGGGAGGGAGGGAGAGAGAGAGAGAGAGAAACAAAAAACAACATATATATAATGAGACCGTGTTTTTCCAGCGGAGAGGATCTGCTACTATCTGACAGGGTTACAACACACAGCTGGGACGACGTGAGATCGTTAGAATCACACGTCCAAGGCATTCTGCAAAGTATAATGGGAGTATGGGATGGGAGAACATTGTTCGAAAGGGCGGGTGCCTTTGACGCTTGAGCCCGAGCGGTTGCGATGAGCAACGCGAGAGGCCAAGCCTGGACACGACACCCGAAAAACCTGTCTCATCATTCCCGTGCACGCACTAACATAATGAGACCGTGTTTTTCCAGCGGAGAGGATCTGCTACTATCTGACAGGGCTACAACACACAGCTGGGGCGACGTGAGATCGTTAGAATCACACGTCCAAGGCATTCCAAACATCCCGAATTGAAAGGGTTCACAGGGGCGAAGGAGGGGAAGAGAGGAGGGGAAGAGCGAAAGCAAACAAGGCCTGAGCCTCATTGGGCCCCGGTACGGACGGGGCCGCTCGAGTTGTACGAGCAGGAGGCGTGCTTCTTAGCTGCGAGAGACTTAGCCAGAGCAGTGGCAAGGCGAGAGGGGTAAGGCTGGGCGATTGAGGTCCACAAAACATTCTGGTCATTGCGGCCACTCAGCTCGATATGACGGCGGAGGGTGCGAGAGCACATACCAGCTTTTCCAGTGCAGACTCTGTCCAGTGAGCAACTGTCCTCAGGATACATATTACCACAAACTAGCCATGTCCTTTTTCGCCACGGCGTACCCCATTGACAGAAATCTGTAAGTCGCCATTCAGCACGCGCCCGGCTGCACAGAGCCAATATCTCTGGGATGAACCACAGGCGGGAAGTTGACGGATTTTCAAGTATCCACGGAATTTTGTAGCGATTGAGATGTCTGAGAATGCGAATTACGGCCCGAATTATCTGGTTACCAGTCTCGAGTGAGGCTCGGCCCCGATCGGTAGCATCGGTCAGGTCAGTCCCCCATGGCTGAGTGCGTGAGCGTATCTGAAAAGTCCTATCTCGAGCGATAGTCAGCGAGGTGCAAGGGAGGGCGATCATGGCGGCGAAAATCTTGCCGTCACGGATGTCCGAGAGCAATAGGCGAAGCACAGCAGGGTCCGTGATGTCATGGTTGGGCCCGTGGATGATGTCCCAGGCCTTAGCTGAGAACCCCAGCCGCGTGACTGCCCGAGCCACCTTGCCTGAGCCAGAGAACAGGTCGGCCATGTAGGTGCCGTCCTTGGCTAGCCGCGGACGGGCGGTGGCCTTGGGGCAAGCTCGGGCGACCAGAGGAACTCGACGAGCTGGTCTTCGCACAGGCGCATCTGTGCTTGTATTACGGCAGGGAGCTCGTTCCAGAAGCTGCCGAGACGGGCGCTCTTCTCGTAGCGCCCGAGGCTCTTCCAGCTCTTTCCCCTTCCGCGCTTCTGACACTCCTTTTGGCTGCGATCTGGCTTGAGGCGATCCATCGACGCCCATGAGTGTCTCATCCGGTACGGTACAAGGTGCGGCATGGCCAGCGTCTTGGCGACGGTCTTGAATCCCGCCAAGAAAGTGAGATAATCGAAGGACCACAGCCGGCCGCCCTTCTCCTTCAAGACCTGGAGGAGGTCGTGCACCCACGACAGCATGTAGGCCGAGTCGATGATCGGCGAGTTGTCCGCATCCCCAGTCTTGCTCCTCCTTTCCTCCTCCGAAGGATGCAAAAGGAGGCTCCAGTACCGCGACGCCGGCGACGTCGGGGCCACCAGGTTGTCCGAGGTAAGGTTGAGGAGCTCTGAGGGCCTGAGGTAGCAGCTGACTCCGTTCATCACGGCGAGACCCATGGCAAGCATGCCCCGCCTCGCAAACCCCACCGCGATGGCATACCAGACCGGCAGGGGAGCGGGCGACCTGCCGTCGAGACCCTTCTCCATCTCGTCGGCCGTAGTAGTGCCATCGCTGTCCACGTCGCCGGCCGCGCCGGTGGCAGCGGCCGCGACTGCTGCTGTAGCCCACGCGGGCCCCTTGGCCGCCAGAGTCACCAGAGACCCTCTGGCCATGGGCACCTTCCCAGTATCCAGCTTCGAGCGTATCTCCGGTCGCGGCAGGGTTCGAGTCCTCGTTGCCCCCGGGGTCGCTGAAGGCGGACAGGAAGTCGTCGTCGGACGCGCACTGGCCGTCGTGCGCCGGCTCTCCTGGCCAGCGATGGTGTGGCTCGGCGCCTCCAGGGTGCGAGTCCGCTTCGTGGCAATCGTGGAATACGGTGCAGGCGAGAGAATCAGGGGTCTCGGGCGATTCGGGAACTTGAGCCGGCACGCCGTCGGATCGAGGTAGATCCGCAGGCTGAGGCAGGACGTCTCCGGGTCCGTGTCCGTCAGCCACCAGGCGAGTGAGATCCTTCGTGGAGTCGTAGTTGGGGTCGTAGATACGGGACCCAGCGTCGCTACTGTTGAGCTCTGAGGGATGCCACCTGAACCCAAATCGAACCCCTCGGGCCAGAGCGTAGGCCGCGATTCGTCTGATCTGCACCAAGAGCCCGAAGCTGCGGGCCCGAAATCTTTCACACGCTAATATAACTGACATATGATCTCCCAATAACAATACTCTGCATAATCCACCTGGAACACAATTACAAACTCTTGCGACAGCTTTGACCAGGACGCGGGCCTCAAGAATCAGGATATCCTCGGAGTAGGCCCACTTGCCATGCAAAATCAAGCGCCACCGATCCCCGTGGAGGAGGGCCCCAGGAATCTCGGGGAAATCGTCACGCATCTCCCAGGCACCAGCCTCCCGAGCGTCCGAGGGGTCACGCTCTTTCTCATCGTCGACCTGCCAACGATCGGTGGTGGGTGAGTAGACGAACCCCGCGGCAGCGAGGGCGCTGGCCCGAGCCGGCAACCCTCCGAGACGACGGAAACGAGATCGTTCGAGGCTCCTGCCCTGCATTTTCACCGTCGACACTCCGTACTCGGAGCTGGCAATCCCCCAGCCGTACGGGCTGGCGTCCACGGACAGTACCTGCGTGAGCCACGGCCGATCCCACTCGGACCGAAGGAGCGGCATCAGCCCGAGAAAGCAATCGAGCTCCTGACGCGCGGACTCCCACACGTCGCTCTTGGCCCAGTACCGCTCGCGGATGAAAGTGTAGACGGTGTGCCACACGGACAGGGTCTCCCGGCACATCAAGCCAACGAATGTACAGTGGCCAAGCAATACTTCGAGCTCTCGCCCCGCCAGGCGCCGCAAGGAGAAGGCCCGCCGGAGGCCCAGTCTGACCTTCCAGTAGCGCCGATGGTTGACGAGGGTCTGGTGCTTCTGGCCATCGAGCGTCACTCCCAGCGCCTCGGCCGCGTCGGAGTCCACCGAGATGTCATGCATGATGAGGCCCGCGGCGTCGAAGGCCGCGATGGCGTCCGCCAGAGCCCCCTTGACGTAGGAGGCGTCGAGCGACAAGAGCCCCACATTGTCGACGTATACGTAGTGCCAGGAGGACGTCGGAGACAGCACGATAGGAGGCCCCCGATCGGTAGCCGCGCAACTCGACGCGACCGCGGGGACCCGTTCCACCAGGCCGAGGTTGGCCACCTGAGCGAAGTAGAGCGACCACGTCCAGCCCATGGGCAGCGCGAGGGCGCACGGCCAGAGGTAGTCGTCCGCGCGAGCGGGCACCCCTTCCACCAGCTGCCCGACGATGCCAAACTCCTTGGCCAGGCCGCCCGGGTAGCAGAAGTACTTGGAGAGGTGGTTGCCGAACATCATGCGGTGGAAGCAATCCTTCACGTCAGCTTTACCCAGGAAGATGGACAACGTGCCGGTCTGTTCCGCGTCGCACTCGATCCGACCAAGCCCCTCTGTCGACAGCAGCTCGACTCCAGGAGGGGTCACGAACCGTTGATTGGAGCGGCGACAGTCGAGCACCATCCTCATGGAGGCGCGCTCCTTCTTCCAGACGAAGAAAACACCTGCGAACTCCTTGGGATCGCGGGTGAAGCCCACCAAGCCTTTCCGCTTCAGGTCCTTCACGAAAGTGGAGTACCGGCGGCGGCTA